CTCTTAATAACTTGCATCGGATCAGCTAATATATATGTTGAAAAGATTGAAATGATAAAATGATGAGTTTTTCACAACTCCATGAATAAATAGAACAAATATACAATAAGAGAGTAAGTTATAATGTGATTAATTTATTACGTTTATACATGATAATGTGATTAATGTCATTTTTTTAGAGTGCTATAAATTAGAAAATCAGAAATAAAAATGAAAAAGAGGAAGAAAACGTGTTCACATCAAGATAAAGTATCATAAGAAATATGTGTGATAAAAAATTAATTATCATTTTTGTTTATGATACTTTAAGAATAATTTAATTTTTTTATATAGAAATATAAAAAAGATTAATTAGCATTTCGGTTTAGGATGCTTTAAGAGTAACTTAAATATTTTTTTATAACAGAAAAATTATAAAAATTATTAATTAGAATTTCTATTTAGAAAACTTCATGGTTAGTTTAATTTATTTTTATAAAAACTAGAAAACAATTATCAAAAAAATATGTAGGATATTTCAAATGTAGTTTAAACATTTGTTTTTATAAAAAAACATTAATTATAATTTCTTTTTAGAATACTTCAAGGGTAGTTTAAATGTTTTTTAATTAATTTGCATTTCTATTTAAGATACTTTAAGGATAATTTAATTTTTTTATGAAAAATAAAAGCAAATTATAGAAAAATAATTAGCATTTCAGTTTAGGATACTTTAAAAGTAAATAGTTTTTTTTATAACAAATAAAACAAATTAATTAGAATTTATGTTTAGGATTATTGAATGATAGTTTAAATGTTTTATAAAAAATAAAAAAAAACATTTATAAAAAAATTATTTAAGATACTTCAAGTGTAATTTAAATATTTTTTATAAGAAATGAAAAAAATTATAAAAAAATTAATTAGTGTTTCTATTTAAGATAATTGAAGGGTAGTTTAAATATTTTTTTTATAAAACATAGAAAAACTTTATAAAAAAGAAATTATTTAGGATAAGGTAGTTTAAATATTTTTTTATAAAAATAAAATTATAAAAAAATTAATTAGACATGGTCACCAAACCCAATGCTCTTGGCTTATGCTTGGTCGCCAGACCCAAGTCTCTTGGGTTTGTCTTGTCTGTAAAACCTAAAAGCTTATAAAAAATAAAAATAAATTAAAAAAATAAATTGTTATTGGAAAAAATCTTTGTTAACAAAGGGTTGTTATTTTTAGTTTGTTTGATTTTGTGGTCAAACCTGTGTTTAGATATGTTTTAAAAATAAATTTAATATAAAGAAATAATTAAATTAAAATGTTTTTAGTGTTATTAAAAATAAAAAATATTCAAAAAACATTTTTTTTATATATTTTTAAATAAAAAATACTTAAAAAAAAACAATAACTAGCTAGGTAAAATTTCTCCCATGTCAAGGGAAGTTCCTATTGGAGTCATAAACCTCGTGCCAATGGCTTGGAAACTAGTCATTGTTGAAGTATGGTTAGTTCTACTTTTAGTTCTCTGCAGCAGATAGGATATTTGCATCAACTCCAGTTTTCCCTCATCGGATTACTCTGAACAACAATCCAAGTCTGTACAAGATCCAACAGAACTTCAAAAAAATGGATTGACAAGAACTTGACCAGGTTCATTGAAGGACTATATTTTTTTTATTAATATAAATATTGAGATTAATTTGCATACACTTTAATTAATTTACAAGCTTTAATATTAACGATTATATAAACCCTTAATAATATTAAATTTCATATGAAACTTAAACCGGTGTCCTCTACAAAACAAATTTAAGATATAGTTGAATTATTCCCGGTTGTTACGGGTACTGATCCATAGTCAATTAAACTATCCATGAAGTTTTCTAAATTTAAGTTGATTGAAGGATTATATTTATTTTTATTAATATAGATATTCAGATTAATTTGTATGCACTTAATTAGTTTACAAATTTAATATTATTGATTATATGAACTTTTAATATAAAACTTAAACTGGTTTCCTCTACAAAACAAATTTAAGATATAGTTGAATTATTCCCGGTTGTTACGGGTACTGATCTATAATCAAGTTAGTTACATGCTGTTAAGTTGGTTACAGCCGCATATATATATATAACTAACTAATTACAAGTCATAATCATTGAATAACAGAAGAAGAAGATTTAATAAGTCTCATTCCTATCATCACTCTTTCTTTCTCTCTGTATCTTAAAAGCCTGTGATACACGTTAACAACAGGGAGCAGGACCCTGACCATCTAAGGCTTCCACAAGTGTGAAAACAAACTCAACGAAGACCAGAGATGCGTATATGCTTGCTGCTGCTCGTGTTTCATGATACAAATTAAACCCTTTCACGTCAATTACGATATCTTCCATTGAATACATTGAAATGATCAAACTGCTAGAAAAAACTTTCGAGATTAAAGTTTCTTCCATATAATTCTTTGCTTTTTATCACCCTTTATTCACTTTTCTGCCTGCTTGTCAAAAGTGAGAGGACTTGACATTGTAGAGACCTTTATCCATTCATGGTATACACATTAGAGGCAGTGTGCATGTGAACGTAGGACTTCCCAGTTACTCCCCAATGACAGATATTAGACACTCCATTCAATCTTTGCACCTTCTCTCTATGTCCACTTTTGTTCAAAGAAACACATCGCCATAATCTTCATTACAACTAGCTCTGTTTTGCAATCTCCCATTCCAATGTCAAGACTGTTAGGAGATCCAAACATTCAAACACACACAAATTTACGTGGTTCGGCAACTTGCCTACTCCACGGAGCTACTGGTTTGTATTAATCAAGCTCAAAAGCAATACAAACAACAAAACAAGGAGGAGGAGAAAACTTCTCAACTCAACTCAACTCTCACCCTTAGCTCTCTCTCTGTGTTTCTCTCTATCTCGTGATCTATCTCAGCTATCAATACATCTTCTATTTATAGCTGAGGAGGGAGATGATTGTTCAACAATGGTGGGCAAGTTAGGCACCTACCATTTGACTATAATTTCAACCATGGCTGCCACCAACCATGGCTGCCACCTACCATGGCTGCCACCGTCCATTTGTGTCCACACACATAACAATCTCCCACTTGGACACAAATGGTGTTAGGTCTGTCTTTTAATCTTCAAGACCCACTGAAGTTTTACACAACTTCAGTTTATCGAGAGTAACTCCTTTGGTTAACATGTCGGCTGGATTCTTGCTTCCACAGATCTTTTCAAGTAATAGTTGTTCATCGTCGAGCAATTGCCTGATGAAGTGATATTTGATCTGTATATGCTTTGTTCTGGAGTGAAATGCTGGATTCTTGGCAAGGAAGATTGCACTCTAACTGTCACTATACAAAGTACCTTTTCCATGCATCTTGCCCAATTCTTGCAGGAAACTCTGTAGCCATACTATCTCTTTTGCAGATTCTGAAACTGCAACATATTCAGCTTCTGTCGTTGAAAGAGCAACTATCTTTTGCAAGGTAGAACTCCAAGAAACAGCAGTGCCTCCTAGAGTGTATATATAACCTGTAGTACTCTTTCTGCTATCAACATCTCCTGCTAGATCAGCATCTACAAAGCCTTCAAGTTTCAAACCGCCAGCTGTGAAAATAAGACATGTCTCCGATGAGCCTTTTAAGTACCTCATGATCCATTTCACTGCCTCCCAATGCTGCTTTCTAGGATTGCTCATATATCGGCTTACAACTCCCACTGCATGGGCAATATCTGGTCTAGTACAGACCATGGCATACATCAAAGAGCCGATAGCTGAGGCGTATGGAATCTGGTCCATGTATCCACGTTCTAGCTCAGTTTTTGGTGACTGG